CATGCAGGAGCTTCGCACAGTGTGACTAGCAGCAGAGTAAGAGGGGTGGAGCTGGGCCCAGGAATGGAAAACTCCAGCCCTTCAGTGCATGAAGGACTAGGGAGCTCCCAAACTTCCAAACCGGGTGCAGGGCTGGAAGTTGGTCAAGAACACAACAGAAGCAGAGCTAATCCTCCCTGCAGAAATCTCAGGCAGCGCAAGGACTGCAAACAGCTCCTACCTTTCCGGGTTAACTGGGTCCCTTCTAGGAAGTCAACTGACTTGTGGAAATGCAAGTACCAGGAAGAAATAAGTAAAGAAACTAATGCAGTACTCTGAATTGCCACCTTACATTCTCTTTCCCACGTTGCGTTTTAGAAATACAACAGAAGCAAAATTGGCAAATGCCATCCATGTGCTCCGCTACGGAATGACTGACAGAACACAGTGTGAATGTTACTTCGGGGCTGAACCAGAGGATGCGTTAGAAAAATGCCTAAGTGGAACACGGACATGTTCTAACTCAACCTTCCAGGGTGCATTCCCTTGTTGTGGAATCAAAAGCCTACAGCACTAATTATGGCTTACCCCGTTGCAACCAGGGCTGCCGCAGAACTGAACACGGGCCAGCATTTGAACCCGAGTTCAAAGTCAGTGTGATGTTGCCTGAGTTTCTTACTAACATCATCTTTATCCTCTCTTGCCCTTCTTCTCAGTTAAGAAGAATTATGTACTGAAAGTGCTGAGATAAAGTAATGGTAAGGAGGATACCGCAAAAGGTATTCGAAAAGCACAAGTAATTTACTACGTGTCTGCTTTGTTTTACTTCCTAAGCCTTCCTGTTGTGAAAGGAAATTCATCTTTTCTGGCAGACTCCAGCCTTTTTAGGCCGGAGAGCTCCCCAGGAGCTTTCCAGTGCAGGTAAATGGATGTGAGACTCAAGCAGTACAGTACGAGGAACCGGGAATTAATGCGGGGTTTTGCTTTGGCTGTCACATCTGACGTGCAAGGAGAGTGCTGCATCCCTGCTTGCAAGATCTACATGTGGAAACGTGGGCTCAAGGCTCCGGTCATCGCGATGGGGCTGAAGCGCCAAGACTGGAAAGGTCACGGTGCTGGTGGGCAAAGCCCACAGGATCCAAACCCAGCCAAGTCTTCACGTGAGACAGATGTCCAAGCCCCAAAGCCTTCTATGATAAAAACCAAGAGGGTTAAGCCTGGATGTTCTGCGTTCACCGGAGCCCCCAAGAGCAGGCACGGGGGAAGCAGCCGCAGCCGCATCCACCAGCACACACGGAGGTTTTGTCCTCTTCTGTTCTCCTGCCAGTTTGCACATATGTTCCGAGTATGCAGCCTGCCCTCCAAAGACCACTTACAGGGGCAATCACAGGGAAGCGGAGCAGTAAGAAAGTATCCAGAAAGGGAATTGGTTCAAAAGGAAGAAATGGAGACAGATGTAGAGTGAGAAGTCACGGCTGGCGGTAAATAACCCTCTGCCTGGAGTGCTCTCTTTTTCTAAGAGGAGTTCACATATTCCATTTCATATTTCCTTTCTAGGAAGTCAAATCTTGGTTTTCCTGGCATTTGTTCTTTCTTTTTCTTCTTCTTCTTCTTTTTTTTTCCTTCACTATATATTTTTTCTTTCTTTGTGGTCTAAAACGTTCTCCCTTTCCCCTCTCCTTTGGCTAGGCCGTGTTCTCTTTCTCCTTTCCAGGGAGACATCTCTCCAGCCCCGCCGTGTGCAGACCACATTCCTCATTTCCCTGCACTCCCCCAGCCAACGTCTTCCACCACCCGCGGGCCTCGGGCGCTCGCCCTGCTCTGCATGTGCCTGAGCACAGAGGGTTTCCCGCTTGCTCGTGCATTGCTCCCCACTCTTACTCAGAGACACTATCTCTGGATAAATCTGCTGGGAGAAAGCGCTCTACCCCAAGGCAATAAAGCAAACCGACGTGTTGTTATCGTTGGTGGGGATCCGAGCGCGCTGGGAGGTTGGCTGCCGGCTCCTCGCTGTGCTCTTTCCTTCCCCGGCAGCACGGCCATCCCGCAGACAGGGCTGCGCTTCCTTTCCTTACCCTGATTTCCTCCTCCTGCAGTTTGGCCAGAAGCCCCGAGGGCAGGGTTGAACGCTGGGGTTTGGGAACGCGGCGTAGGCGACGCTCTGCCAGGGCAGGATGGAACCTGCGCCTGCCCCCCGGGTCAGCAGGGCTCTGCACCGCGCGAGCCCCGCGCTGCCCTGCGCGGGAAGGCGAACCGCGGCGCAGGATGCCAAGGCAAACAGAGAGGTGGTTTCAGGCTCTAAACTGCTGCTGTGAATTGCACTGAGAGGAAAGGAAACACTGAAGCTCAGGGATTACAGCGAGGTAAAACCGCGCAATCATTTTTTGCTTCTAGGTTAAATAAATGGCAAAGCCCTTTTCTGGACAGGGGAGATGGGAAAGGTCGTATCGGAAACAGGGCAGAGCTCCAACATCCCCCTCACAGAGAGGAATACTCTTGCCAGGCAGAAGCTACCAGGGGATGTTACCATCATTTGTATGGCTTTCACACAACCAATATACTTTCTAAGTATATTGAGACATACCTAGATGCCTCCAAGAAGAAAACATTTTATACCCATAGAGAGAAAGCACTTGTGCCAAACACACACCAAAAGGGCCAAGCATTGATATCAGATGTGTGATTTCTGAGGCATCAAAGCAGGATGGGTTCCCTCCCTGTCGCTTAGGAGGAAGAGCCTTGTTCCAGGGACAAGCCGCTCTTGTCCTGGCCTGAAAGGACACTTGATAACGTCTTTGTCCTTCACCACTGAGGTGTGACTCTTCAGGCAACCTCTCTCCCAGCCACACTCTTGCAGTGACTCTGTTTTAGAGAGGAGCTGGGACCAAGATTTGGAGGAGAGGCTGCTGCAAAGCCTGGGAGAAGGCTCAGCGTGACGCTGCATGGGCACAGCGGGAAGATGGTTTGAAAGTACCTCCCACGCAGGCAGCACGAAGCACTTTTTCTTCACAACTGCAGGAGGGAGAGCAAGCTTGGTGAATCTGAGCTACACCTAGTTGGCACCTGGTTTGAGTCCCTTAGGTCGCAAGGTGACTTTCTGCCATTTTATGGACAAGACTAAACAGAATCTGAGCTGCTTCCATAGTGAGGAAGGTTGCCAAGAAGGTGGTTTCCCCTCTGCCTTGTCCCTGCCTTTGGGAAGCTCAGGAAGTTTTATGCGGGCAGTTGTCCTTCCCGATGAGCGCTCCGCAGTGCCGAGAGCGGCGGAGGTGCTTCTGTCCCATCCCGTTGAAGGCTGAAGGTCCCTCTCTTGTCCAGCTCAGCAGGTCAGCGCCACTATCCGAGCAGGACTCGCATGACACAGCCGTGGCGACCACGCGTGGGGAAACGACCAGAAGTGACAGCAGAATTAACAGCCAACCTCTGGTTGTCGTACAGACGGAGACTGTCATTAAGAAGGAGCAGCCCAAACCTTGGGGCCATCAAGCCCTCGGTGTGACAGCGACGCAATGGTGGTGACCCAGGCTGCTCCCACCCCTGTGCCTGCAGAGGAGGTCGCGATCCCTCCCTTCCCATGGGCACGGCGCTGTTGTTCCTGCTCCCTCGTGTGCTCGGCCAGCGCCAGGTGAGGCTCTGCCGGCGGAGGGGACGGCCCCGAGCGCCTCCGGAGCAGGAGACCTGCCCGGAGCAGCAGAGCCCTGGGACGAGGCCGTCCCGAGGAGCCTGGCGCTCGCCTGCCGGCAGGTCCCCCCTCTGCTCCTGCCAAGGCGCCACATCTGCAGGCAATAAGGGCCCACAAGCTGGCTCCTCCTCATTAGAGCGGAGAGGGCAGCTGGCAGGGGATCCTCCAAGGGCTCCCAGGCGCCGGAATCAATCCCCTCCCAGTCTGGAATAGCCCAAATTTGGTGACTTTCTGGGCAGGCTGTAAAGCACAGCTGTTTGACAGGGTCTCTGGAGGAGGCTGCGGGTATGTTTCCTACACGATAAAGGATATAGGTGGCTGGCCAAGTGCCCGCGGAACTGATTTTAATGCAGTTCAGGTTGAATTTACTTTTTCTGTGCTGTATAGTTCATTATACGCAGAACCCTGGACAAACATGTGTTGCCTCAAGTCAAACCAGAAACATATTATTTCAAATCCAAACAAACAATAAAGGCAAGAATATGTATTGTGAAAGGTCCCTTGGATTGCTTAGAGAGCCTAGAAACACCAGGAGGTTGGAGGTGAAAGTACCGGTTGTCACCTAACATATACGACTTCTATTATTTTTAATAGCAATGAATATTTGAATATTAGATGTAACAAAATTGAGGCATTAACTCCACCTGTGTAAGTACTACTGACCAAGAGAAATATTTCCAACGGTACCAGCACCCAGATGATATCAAGATAAGTGATCAACGGACAGGCAAGTATGCAATATAACGCAGAAGATGATCAACAAGAAAGATCATACACATAGTTAACTAAGAACAGGCAGAAAAACTGCTTCCTAAATACTATGAAGTTTAATACCTAGTATTACCTATTTCAATATGGAGCTTCATGGTATTACAATTGAATAAATGCCTTCTGTAGGTCTCTTAAAAAGTCATTGCCAAGTGAGCTCAAGTGCTGTATAACACTTGAATGTCCTTTTACCTTATAAAAGCCGAGGAACCTTTATTTAAACGTTATACCTGTGCGGCACAGCCCAGGCAAGTGCTGTTTTCTGCTAAGCAATCATCATCGCTGTCCCAGAATTGAATCTGGACGCTTTGACAGGGAAAGACAGAGCATATCTTTTGCTGCATTATTTAAATGCTTCAGACATTTGGCCAAAATACAGAAGTGACACACTACAAAAACATTCACAGCTGCAAGAGCAAGAAAACTACTACAGTATTTGCATCAGATCGACCTTCTCACTTGTTGCAAGATGTCTGTAACTGAGCACCGTTCTACAGCGCATTCACTGTATGTGGACAACACAACAGCAACTGGAGAGCGTTTCGGCGGGCTCCTGGGCGCCACGGCTTACCTGGCTCCACTTCATGCCATCCACTTGACTGGCTGCCACTTCCCGGCGAGCGCCCTTGGCTTGTATAAAACGGCTCCTCACCGGGACTGTCCATTTCATCCTCCACAGATTTGAGACGTTTTGTAGAGCTGAAACGGTAAAAACGCACCATAAATACTGCATACACGGGCAGGAACACAGCTACTTCTGCTGCGATGTCCCTTGCTAGAACTGCAGGAGACAAACTTTCTTAGAGAAACTATAAAGGTTTTAAGGCACAGCTTGTCCTGAAAGAGAACTTACTACCAGCCCAAATTTATATTTTCAATGCTATAACTTTAACCATTAAATTAATCTGGCTTCAGTCCCACAAGAAGAAGCCTGGACAAGAGGATGAGGCAAGGACTCATTCTTGGTTTGAACGTTCGTGTTACTGTACAAATACATGTGTTTTGCTCTGCTGATGCATGCCACCATGCAAGAAGTCAGCCCAACAGGTATCTCTGGCCAGTGCCAGGACCACAGGACTCCCTTGATGAGGAAGACACTAGGGCTTTGCCGCAGTCTCTGGTGGTCCCTGACTTGGATTCTGGTAGTTGGACAAGGAAGGAGTCAGGCAGAGACCAGCCACACGTGGGCAGGGGAAGCTGTGTGCATGCAGTACAAATACTGCCCGATAATTCTACTGATTCTGTGTATTTAAGAAATATGTATTTTTTTCAGACTGGGAACAGTCTAATAAGAGGAAAACAAATATATTACCAAGTTATTAACCACCCATGTTGTTTATAATTAGCTCCTTATCAGTGCTAGCTATTTGCAGAATAGGAGAGTGACAACTGAGCTCTTAAGTAACACTAATAACCTCACTTTTTTGCTCTTGGAGTCCCAACTAAACTCTACCTGAGAACAGTGTTAATGCTGAGCACTGCACAGGGTACTCAGATCATGCATAAAAAAGAAGAGCACAAACTTTCAAATTGATGTGCAATGGGAATTGTAGTCACCAAGCATCATGGTGCAGGATGCAGAATGTTCTTCACTGCAAACTACAAGCTAAGAAAGTAGTACTAAGATCCTCTCTTTAAATAATTTTTTAAAGAAAATAAAAACAACAACTACATTTAAACTGTAGATTATTTTACATGTGTGCTTGCCTATTGCAAAGCTGGTGCCACTGCAGACTCAGATAAAAATGTAAAAGAAACCAGGGTTGAAGTTAGACTTTCTTGTCATGTCTTTGAAATAAGTGATCTATTTTGGCTGTGGGGGAAAAAAAATCAATCTGGTTCCTTAATAGTGTTCAGAATACTAGAGTGACCGGCCTTCTTTATAAATCTAATCTCATGGATGGTTAAAGGACAAGGTAAAAAATAAAAAATATCCTTGTCTGATGGTTAGCTTTTAAGGCAAAATTAAAGTCAGCCTGAGTGGCCACGTGCACTAAAAATTCACACTTTTCAAATGGTTGAGTCACAAAACTCTTAAAACTGTATGAAAAACAGGATACATTAGAGCCCGAGGATCTGACATTATGTTATGTCATGGACAATACTTTCCAAGACAAAGAATGCACACAAGTCAATCGTAAATTTAGCAGATTCTGGATTTCTTTCCTCCTACGCAATCCAAGCCATAATACTCACAGCTACTGTCTCCTTACAAATGTTCAGTGACCTTCCTTAGGACAAAGTGACACATCTCAACGTGCTCCCACCTCCCTTCTGCCTCCAGCACCCGTGCAACCACTCCCTGCACACCGAGACGCGAGGCAGAAGCTATGCAGCTCGATGCAATAGTGCTTCTTCAAAGCTGTGCATAAATAAAGAGCTTTAACAGCAACCCAGAAAGGCTTTCTGCTTGGTGAGCCTCTAAGTGTTCCAAACCTAGAGGCCCTCAAACAACTCATCAAATAATTCAGCAGTAACTTCCCCAGAGGAATAGTGAGAATTTCCTGGGTTCCCAAGTGACTCAGTAATAGGCACAGATTCAATTACCTGGTAGAGGATGTGCTAGGTAAAGACCTCCTCATTGCTCCTGGGCTCATGCTGTAGTATGAAGAACTTTCCAAATCTGAGAGGGAGAAATTAGGGCCTGTTCCTGCAGCTATTGGTGCTGGGGAAACAAAAGAGATTGCAGTCAGTGAGTCATGTGAGCAAGGCTTGCGTTGTACCTCAGAACCACTTCTTCCTCGTGAGGGTATTCAGTTTGGGGTGAGAACAGGTGTGATGTGGAAATTAAGAAATCCTTATGGTAATTGTTTTTGCATCAAGAAGATGCAAAGTTGATCAAGAATACAATGTTCAGCAACTCAGACTCTTTCTTACAGTCCTCCAAAGATATTCCTTCTTTATAAAATTTAAACAGATAAGGCAACACCTCTGTTCAATTCCTTTAAGTCCAACTTTTCTTCTATCATTCCAACATCCAACATTTATTGAAACTTTTTTTTTTTTAGAATTGGGCTGCGTTTGCTGGCACAGTTACAATAGGCTGCATCCCTGGGTAGGTGCTTGGCAGAACCTCCAGGCAGCAGCGCAGCCCTCGGGGGCTTCTGGAGGAGCCCGAGCCCCTCTCTGCTGAGGTGCCAGTTTGGGGGGCAGCCCGGCCCTGGTTGCTGGCGGGGGCACGTCGTGATTTTCCCTCGTCTTGCAGGCACGTCTGAACGTAGCCGGCAAAATCCGGGATATCAAGGAATTAGGTTGGGAGGTCATTTATGACAAGAACGCTCAAGCCCTTCGTTATCTGCTCTTAACTGGGATACGCTTCCTGCGCACTGGGTACACGAGGGAGTGTGTGCTAAAAGGAAAAAAAAAAAGGGAGAAAAAAATAAGCATAGTAAAATTAACTCATTTTATCAACCTGTGCTTTCTGCCACAGTTTCCTGACAGCACCTACAAGCGGCTGTAAAACTGATGAATTTGCATGGAAAAAGAAACCAGTGTAAGTAATTTGTGTAAAAGGTAACACGGACATGGACTGCTATAACTCAGACACCCTGCAGATAGCAGACTGCTGCAGTGTGAGCAGTTCTGGGCTAGAAAAATGACCACACTGCAGTCAGTCTGACTTGAATGGAAATCAATCATAAAGGTATCTCTGCAGTATCCACTCCAGTTTTCAGCAACTTCCTTGCCAAGCAGACCCGTGCTCTGGAAACCCTTTGCTCCGCACCCTCTGCCTGGCCCAGCACCACTTCCACTGTACACGCAGTATTTTCCAAACAGGAACATAAAAAGGCAAGCTCTAAATTAAAGCCCTGTGCCTTTTGGGGGCCCAATGAATTTCCGAGCCGTTGCAAGATTTATGAAACTGCTTCATTCCAGACAGATAGGGAAGAAAACGCTGATATCCGGACTATGCTTCGCCTCTTCCTTTCGCTTCCCTCTGTTAATCATTCTCCCGGACGGCTGCGCTCAAATCCTTGCACTGGCCCCACGTGGGAACACGGAGCGGCTCCGGAGGGGCCGCCGCGGAGCGGGACGCAGAGCGCCAGGTCGCGGCCGCCCTCGCAGCAGATACAAAGGGCGCTTGGTCTGCGAGGGGCCCAAACACCTCGGCGCCTCCCACGGTCACCCCGAATGTCCAGAAAAATCACAGGACAAAAAGGAAAAAAACACCCAACCCTGTGACTTAACGGGAATATTTATTTTGAAAAATTTACTGAATTAGAAGGCGGGACCCACTAAACAAGGGGTTTAGGCTGGCTGCTCTTCCCTGGACCATGGCACTCTCTTAGTCATGCTATTGCTTAGCTCCTCTTTTTCTTCTTTTTCCCCCATTCTCCATATCTATTTTTACCAAGGGCCAGAGCACTGACTAAGACCAGTACACCTGTAATGGAGCGATAATGGGCTTGAGGTTAAATGGGAAAAACATGGCATTTGACTAATAAACTCCTTCGTGTGTCGTGGCTTCACAAACCGTGTTGCTGGGGACGGGGTGAAGATCTGGATTGGGTTTTTTTTGCCCATTGGCATTTGTCTCCTACACCCTGTAGTGAAGGGGCTCTGCCGCATACAACAGATATGAAATGTGTGATGCTCGTTCTAAAATTACAAGTACAGGCTGCTATTGACCGTCTCATTATGCTGAGTTCCATTTATAAACATAGCTAACCACTAAGTTTATAGAGACTTTTTGTGCTGCTTTAATAGGATATTGATCGAGAGCAAGGTTTGAGTGGACTGCCATTGAATTGTGTAATGGCATACAAAAGGCAAGGTCACAGCAACTGCTCGTTCCATGCCTGCAGTCTATTTTTTATTATAATCCAGTTTTTTTTTCCCTCCCCTTCCTGTAGTACCCCTGCCCGGTGCGTTTGGGATACAGAGCATCTTTTTTAAACGTTCATTTTCACACTGCTGCCCTCGGCTCCCGTGGCTCGCGCAGCGCTCAGGAGCCGCCGCAGGCGCTGCTGCGCGGGACAGGACGGACGCGGGTTCCCCCCGCTCCACGCAGCTCCCGTGCTGCAGGGTGGCACCTCCCTCCTGGCACAGTCACCCCTTGTTCATCCATGATGCCCCTTTGACAAATAACACCGCACAAAGCAAGTATGTTTGATCTGGCTCTAGTGAATGTCCATCAATCCCAAATCTCTCTTCCCATCCAGGGCAGCACAGACTATCCAGCTGCTCAAAGGTCCTCCAAGCGAGGAGACCTTCCCTCCCAGCAGCTCCTTGCAAGGGAACATGGAGCAGACCGTGTGCCACGGAGAGCTGCACACAGCGAGCACGGTTTTCCTAAGAAGGCAGCATGGGGTTGGGCTTGGTCAACATCTGCATGTGCATCTGTGCATCTTCAGCAGACCAAGAGACCCGAGACCCTCTGGAGTTCTCACCAGCAAAGAGCTTTGGAAGGAGGAGCTCCAAAGCAGTTTCGGAGTTGAGCAACCATTGCCTCCAAAGGGATCCAAAGCGGTCTGCTGGTACCTGGGGTGAAGGGACAACCCTGGGAAAGCAGCTCTCATCTTTTGTCTGCTCACAGTGCATGAGAGTTGGCAACATGATCAGCTATACCCACGTTGGACTGGCTGAGGAGCAAACTATCTATTTTTCAGGTGAACATTTATGATCTGCTGTCTCTATTTCAGCAGACTCTGCAACATCCAGAAGCTGGGTAGTGTTTTGAAAGAAAATCCACAGCTATGGGACTGAGGAAAGCAGGTTTCTGTTACCAGAACAGCCTAGATTTGTTCAATAGCTCACAGAAACTGTGATGATTGGCATGATGGATAAGATAGATAATGGTAATAGCTGACCTTTTGCTTGATTAATTCATTCCCCAAATTTGCATGACTGAGACAACCGCCTATTACTTGAGACTCCTTGTCATGTGGCCCTCTGAGAAGTTAACTAAATAAAGCTGGCACATAATTACCACCAACAATATCTAATAAGATTAATTTGAGATAACGGCAGCTAACCAAAGCCAGTTAAAACTGTGGGAAATGACATATTTCTACCATTGTATTACTGAAATCAAGCACGGGGAGGATGGCAGTGGGCATACGCAACGATGACCTCCTTGTAAAGCAGCACAGAGTCCGTGCACAAAGACACAGGAGACCAACCACGAGGGCAAGTTCCTTGCTGCCCTCGCCTTGATTGCTTTGAAAGATTCAAAACGTGGATGTTTTGATTACTCAAGACTGTTAACAACGGCTGGTGAGGCTGAACGATGGCTGCTCTGCAGCTGAGCTTCCCAGCACCAAGGCAACCCATGGACTGGCCTCAGCTCAAGCCACAAGTATACATAAGCAACCCAGCACGGCTTATATGGAAAAGGGTGCTCTTTAAGAGAAACCCTACACAGCAATTTAGGCAAATACGCAGCAATTAATCTGTTGCTCTGCTATGCTAAATAATTCTTTGAATGCGAGAGTGCAAATTCATCCTGGCTTCAGTGGGAATTGGTTGGTAGCCTCTCCGTTAGACGCATCCGAGCGGGTAGCCACACGTGTCGGGCTGTGGGCTTCCCAGAGCTCACGAGTAAACACGGTGACCGCTGGTCCGCCCGTGTCTGGGGCATCTCCAAGGAAAATCCAGGGTGCTATCGAGCCGCGTGGCTAATTCAGTCCTGGCACTCCTCCCTCTGAGTCAGTGCTGAAGTGCGATCCCGACACACTTTGGGGACACTATTTTTGGTGGAGGTGCTGGCTTGTGGACAGGGTATAAAACTGAGGTCTGGAGCTGCAAGGATTATTAAGGAGCCAATGAAAAAAGAGTGCATGCCTCCTTTGGCTGCAAAAGCAAAAAGCTGCCTCTTGTCATTTTGCCTACCAACGTCTCCTTACGTGTTCCCAGTTGAGGCAATGCCTGTCCTGCTCCCTCCCTGGTTGCCAACCGTGTCGAACGCTAGGATTTTTGGTAGACCACGTCTTTGTTTTGTTGCAACAAAATACCATGGAAAATTAATGAGCACGGGCACGAGCGAGGTCCCGCCGCGCGCGCAGGAAGGTGGCGAAGGCGCAGCCCCGACCGCACGGCTGACAGAGTCCAGAGCAGCTCTGCTCCCACGGCCCAGATAAGATTGCGGAGGAGCGGGATGCCTTGCGGAGGGGGCAGGGGCGGCCTTCGGGACGCGAGTGTCTCGCGTTGAACAAAGGTGACACGAGATGGGGATGGACGGAGGAGGCGGAAGGCCCGCGCTGGAGGCCCGCAGCGAGTCACGCACGGCGGCCAAGGCGGCCGCATGGCCAAGGCCCCCTCGGAGCACCCAGTAAGTGAAGGGGTTTTCCAGCGCGCTGAGCACTCAGCAGCTCCTCGGGACTTCTGCGTCCCGGCGGCTTTGTCCTTCCAACCAAAGTCCCACAGGTTTTCAACCAGCGGCTGCCGCTCTGTCCCTGTCTCCTGTGCACGTGCCTCCCACTCTCTGCGCTTCCCTTGTGGCAGCCTATTTCCCAATAGAGAAGCTAGTTACGAGTCTGACAGATGTGCAAGGCTCTGTGAAAGACGAAACAAACCCCCTTAGAGGAGCTCTGCTCTGAGACTCCAAAGCACTCTGCTGGGGTCGTGCCAGTGAAGCGCCAGCCCCAGAAGGACCTGGGCTGCATGCAGAGCCAATACAAGCCGATATCCATAGGTGCAGGAGCAGAGCCATCGCTGTGGCTGGCTGTGCTAACCAGTCCTGGGGGCATGCCCTAAGGTTCTAAAGGGAAATGCAGTTGATAATTAGTGAGACTGTAACGTTACTGCCCAGCTTGGCTCCAGCTGCAGGGAAGAGGGCTGGTCCTACGGGCCTGGTTCGTAGGTGTCTCGCTGCCACCCTCTCTCCTTGGACTATCTGGATTATGTCATAGCAAAACCCAATCGATGCACCTTTGATCAATGGAGCAGGGCGGTGACAGGTGCTCTTAATTCACTGTTGTTAGTGAGTATTGACAAGCCCGTAATGATCATGCTGCAGCGTGTCATTCACGCTGAGGGCATTAGCATTCTCTAAAGGTCAAAAAACAAATCCTTCAGAAAGCCCAAATTCCACAGGCTGGAGGGGAACGCAGGCCTTGCAAAGCTGTGTCTGTGGGAAGGGGAGAGGAGGCTGCTGGAGCTGCTGGCACCGTGTCTGAGCGCAGGTGTGCAAACACAGGCACGCGTGGCACGGAGGGCGCCGTGCACAACACTGCCAGGGGAAAAATTCCTACCTGGTGTGCAGGAGCGTGTCATTTCTAGAGGCCTGGTTGAAATACAGCCCTTGGATCCTGCAAGGGATGCACCTGCAAGCTCCTCTGTCTAGACAGGTCGCTGCACTTACACAGGATCTGCCCATTTTCAGCTGAGTACTACAGTGGTGTAGCAATTTCCACACAGAAATTTGCAGGATTATACATATTTATATTATTATTATTTATATATACATATAAAATATTATACTATTTTTTCTGCATTAATAGATGTGGCAAATAAACACAGTGTCACTGGAGCAAAGCAGGGAGAAGACACTCAATGTTCAAGAGACAATTTCTGACTTGGGGAAGGGGCACGATAAGAATCAAGGCAAAAAAAGAAAAAACCCTGGGGATTGCAGAAACCACCCAAAGCATCCACAGCGCAATACTTACTTTGTGAGACTCTTACTAGCTCAGTCACACTGAAAACACCTGATGTGACAAAACTGTCCTGGAAGCCCAAATGTCCTACAAAACAAACAGAGTGAGAGAACAGCGATTAGCTTGAAGCATTTAATGATGGTATTCTCAAATACTTTAGTTTCATTTAGATTTAAAATGTGACATCTAATTTCCCACTTAGCACTAATTATTGTTTATGTAGGTGGGTAGCTAGTCATACAGCTATGTAGGCTGCTTTGTGGTTTCTATCTCGAGGTTAGCAAAGCTAACGTGACACATCAGCAGGGAGATTTTTACATGTTAAAGCATCTCAACAGGAAACCTGAAACAAAAGAGGACTATTTTAATAACCGGTTACCTTGGATGACCCCTAATGACTTCACAATTGAAATGAAAATACTGTACCTAGGAAACAAGCAGGACAGCTAAGTTCCATAATCGTTTTAAACATTATTCTCTAAAGAAACATCTGATCAGGATTATCTACCCATTCATTCAAAGAAAACAAGATTTAAAGATGTACTCTTCATTTTCTAAGGTTACACTAGGGAGATCTTAAAATAGCAGCAAAAAAACCCACCCTACTTTAAAATGAATTCCTCTCCCATAGGCAAAAAAAAAATCTAACATTTAAAACAAGCTTTGGAAAAGAAAAATAAATGTCCGCATCAGGAAAGTGCTGAGCTGGAGCTCTGAGAGCCTTTAGGATGCAGGGCGCAGCTCGGAGCCGCCGCCTCCGTGCAGGCAATGCCTCTGCGCTGCGTATCAAAATGTTATTACACTTTACATAACAGTATTTTCCCTCTCCTCTGAAAACATGTCTACCACCAAATGTTCATTTAATTTTCACGGGTCTGATCAATGACAAAAGGCGCAGCTCCCCGGCGGCAGCCCGGGGGGGCGGGATGCGCGGGACATCCCCGTATCCGCTCCCGGGACCAGGGTCAGAGGAGAAATCTTGGGATAAGGAGATTACGGAGAGAAACGCCAAGTCCTGCCTGCCCACGGGACAAGGGGGGACCTTTTAGGGATGTCCTACTTAGAGGCACCCATGTCCGTGCACGCACACATATATTATTCCATAGAGCTGGGAATGTTCCGCCCGGCACCATCTGCTCCACGGCTTGTCCGGTCGGGCCGCCCTGCTTCCCCGCAGGCTCCCATGGCCGGATCTCCCCGGCAGCTCCCGAACACCTGCCCGAAGGGAGTGAGCGGAGCTGCACGTTGCTGCCCTCGGCTTCCTTTTGGGGATGTTTCAAAAGAAACAGATTCTGCTGCAGGCAGGGAAGGAAAGGCATCCTGCACTCCAGACTACAGGTGGGGATGTTGGAGGAGAGGAAAAGGAAGGAAGAGAGAAAGAGAGAGAGAGAGAGAGAGAGAAAGAGAGAGAGAAAGGAAAGGAAAGGAAGGGAAGGGAAGGGAAGGGAAGGGAAAGGAAAGGAAAGGAAAGGAAAGGAAAGGAAAGGAAAGGAAAGGAAAGGAAAGGAAAAGAAAGGAAAGGAAAGGAAAGGAAAGAAAAGGAAAGAAAAGGAAAGGAAAGGAAAGGAAAGGAAAGGAAAGGAAAGGAAAGGGAACGAGAGGAAGGAAGAAAAAAGAAAGAAAGAAAGAAAGAAAGAAAGAAAGAAAGAAAGAAAGAAAGAAAGAAAGAAAGAAAGAAAGAAAGAAAGAAAGAAAGAAAGAAAGAGGAAGAAGGAAGGAAGGAAGGAAGGAAGGAAGGGAGGGAGGGAGGGAGATACAGGAAGGGAGAGAGAGATGGGAAGGCAGGAAGGATGGCAGGAAGCAAGGTAGGAAGGCAGGAAGGCAGGCAGGAGGGCAGGCTTCCCGATCGTGTGCAAGGATCTCCTTGGGCATCCCTGTGTATGTGTGTATACATATGTATTATGTACACAAACATATAAATATACACAAATCTGTCATGCTCCAGCTGTAGATCAACGTACTATAAAATATTGAAATTGATGCTGAAATTCAACACAAACAAATTCTTCAATCTGCAAGCAAGGTTTTTATTTACACCCGGAGAATAAATTTTTCTCTACTTCAAATTAAAAAAAATGTTCTTACAAGTCTTTATTTTCCCTTATTTTCAACTTAGAGATAACTGTAAGCGGCTTTGCCTCACAGGCCTTGCACTGCGCCCTAATAAAGGTGACGACTCCGCCATCCTGCTTTTTAGCAAGGCTTGTTGGCCATACACAATGTTTGTTCACTGACAATTTCCCAAGTATTTTTAATATGAAGATCTACTTTTCATATGCTGCAGCAGACCTGCCTATTGAATTAAATGATCTGTGAATTAAAAATAATTCTCTTAGGTCTTCACTGAAACCACTCATGTGCCTAAAATTAAGCATATGCTTAAGTGCCTTGCTGGACGGGGGCCAGGATGCTTAATGCTCTGCAGTTTTGAGCCCTTTGCGGGGAAGCCAGCCTATGCTATATAAATTCTCGTACTGTGCTCATCCCCATTGCGTCGGAGCAACTTCCAGGAGTGCATTGAGCGGTGCCGCGGCCATCTGGCACGCGTGGTTCCTGCACCGCGCACCATATTGCCTCTGCTCTGGTGTCCACTTCCACCTGGACTCCTCAAACAGGTTCCTACCACGCGAAGGCTCCAGGAGAAACGTAAATGTGTGAGTAAAAAATAAGATACAAAAGCGCAGTTGAGGTAAAACCACACTGAGCAAGCACAGGTCGCAACAGCTCGGGCCTAACTTTATCATTCATAAAACTGGAATTTGCTGAGTGTGCCTGAAATGTGCCCTTATTAACGTAGGAATAGAAGAGTGATTAGATTTGCACCCTTCTTCAGTGAAAACAAACATTTCACAAGTGAAAGGCGAATTTCACAACTGGCCGCTGTGCTATTTGCTTGCAAACATTAGGAAATCGGGGGCTAATCTTGCCCATCGTTGGCAGCACGTGGATCCTCGCCACGGGGATGCCCTCCTCGCGCTACAGGCTTTGCTGAGCGCTCTTCCCTAGCAATGCCACAAGGAAAATGGCAGAAAGCAGGTAAAGAAACTAAACGAGTACAAGAAGAATGGCTGGGAAACGGCGTGATTGACAAGAGACGCAAAAGCAAATGGTTTGTGCCGATTAACAAAGGCCAGAATGCAAAAACGGTATCAATTTGGCTGTTCCACTTAATTCTGAATGAGAAAAAAATAGGTAAAGTTAAGCAATTACATATGCAGATGTTAGCAGTAAAGAGATCCTTTACTGAAAAGATGATTAAACATCTTGAAAGCTTGCAAGGTTTATTTTCACAGAGCACTCCACTGAAATGCGTGCGCGGTGCTGCTTTTGTTCACTATCCCAACGACAGGCCCCAGAAATTGCGGCTCTGGCACCTCGGCAGTCTTGTGCTACCGTCGCATTTTGGTAGGAAAGCAGGTGTTCGAAACGAGGATTCGCAAATTCTTGCTTTGTACAAGCACACAGAGCTCATTCATGGAAATTCCGGGCAGAATTTTAGGCACCTGGATAGCAAGGCAAGCCCTGACTCAGCAACGAGGTTGGGGCTCGCGCTTGATTTTAATCAGGCGCCGCGTGGAGCACGTGCTGATTTGCTCTACTGGATAGAGACGGGCTGAGGAAGTTTAAGCAGGTACCTCTCTGTTCTGCTGAATCACTGCTTTCAACCCAAATCTTCGTCCTGAAGAGTTACACCTTTACACAAGACCTCGAGTCGAATACACAAGGATGAACCCTTTTTTCCACACCCCCGAGGAAAAAAGCAGATTAAAAAGCTCAAATTGAATGAAGCACATCATAGGGAAGCTGCCTAATCAATAATATACCGTCACCCCCTCGCACATTTGCTGTATTATATACACGAGCTACAATGCCATCATAACAAGCACCACATGAAAAGCACCTCGCCACAACATGAAGACTGCTTTAATCGCAGAGAAATTTCATAATGAAAACTGCAGATTCTTCTCCTCGATGCCGGTAAAGAAAAAGCACGGAAGAAAGGCTGGGATTTGTAATCCTGATCTCACAGAAGTTTTAAAGAAGTCTTTCTACACAGACCAAACAGAATTACTCTTGGTTTTCTCCTAATTTACCCTGGCAGAGGGGAAATCAGGATTAGGGCTTCTTGTCTAATGCCATTTGTTTTGAATTATTAAGCAAACATTCCTACTTCAATGAGTAAACGTGTACAAAGGCAACTAACCTTCGTCCTAAAATCTAGTTTACAGGGAGAGTATTGTCTGCGTTCCCAATTAATGCTGAAAAAGGAGTCTCAGATGTTGCTCTACCAATCAAGAGCTTGTTTTGTAGCTTGAGAAAATCATGACTGATGCAATTACTTTTATGTGGAAGGTTTGAATATGGTCTATAGGTTAAAGTTCATTGGGTTTTTGTTCCTTAATTGAATATCAGAAGATGTTTTCAGGGTGCTCAAGGTATTATTGTTATTTAATTAGCAGGTTTACTTATGTAATCCAACACGATTATTTTTCTTATAAAATACTTGATGGCACCATAAATATACGAGGTATTTTCTAAACAGAGACACAATTGGTTTCCTGAAATTCAAACTTAAATAATAACAGGGAAGCGTTAATCCTCTGAAGATGAAAACGTCCAAATCCAGTTATTTCTCTTCCACCACAGCCTGAGTGACAACGTATTAAGCTTGAGAGAACAGCTTTTTAGGAGACTTTGATTTTTTTTTTTACAGTATTTTGAAATTACTTGACAGGTCTGCAAGACTAGCGACCATTCCTAAAGCCTTTTCCGCGGCCAGCATCTCACTATACATAGCCATCTTAAAATCTTAAAATAGGAATAATCAATTAGGGTCTCAAGCTTATTATCTTAACCAAATGCCTGATTAAAAAGAAAAGCCCTCTTTACCCAAAGTGCAACTTGATTCCTTTTGGTTTTATCCCCTATCTAGATAATCCCCCGCTTCACAACCGACGCAGAGCAACAATATTGATTAGGAAATTAATGTCGGTATCTCCGAGCGCATGCCGGCCGGGAGAGGCAGGAGGCTCCCTGGGGAGCCCGGATCACCCTGAGGAAGCCCTAAAGATAAGACAGGTAGAGTC